CAGCGCGGGGTTGGGGGGACGTGCCGCTGCGCGATAGCCGGGGCCCGATAGCCGGGGCCATGTCGGCCAAGAAGTCGTTCCGCCGGCGGAGGGAGGACTCGGAGGATTCGGAGGAGGACCAGCAGGTCGCTGAGGAGGTCAGGTGGGTCGGGATCCGGCGGAGAGGCCGGCTGGGCCCAGCGGGGCTGGGGCGGGGAGACGGGAGCCCGGCACTGTCACGACAGCGTTACTTGACGCTGTGGTGTCACGGCGTTGCGTCACATCGTCGTGTTGCAGCGCTCTCTCAGGGCTCCGTCGCGTCACAGCTTGTCTGCCATCGTGCGTGCCAGCCGAGGCGGGCGACGATATTTACATTCGCCATAAACTGCCTTCCAGGCCACTCGTGCGCTGATGGCTCAGGGCAACTCTTCAGCGCCGTGATATTCGCTCGGGAGCTGCTAATTCATTAATTCCTCTTTCTCCCGAGACGTGCCCGTATCATTTCATTAGCAAGTGTCAACCGGCGAAGGAATACAAGGTGCCACGCGTTAATTCATCCTGCTCGGCGACCCTCTGCTTTACTGCGAGGAGAGTATCGTCTGGAGAGCTTAATGGACTAAAAACAGTCATCCCTGTCTCATTCTTCCCATATTGGTTCTTATTATTCAGTGCTTGGGGGCTCCTTTCCTCAGCCAAGGGAAGGCAGGTTGAAGGGATGCATCCAGCAGATGCTGTGTAGGGTTTTCTGGTTGTTTCAATAAACAGAACTGCTTAAATACAGTAAAACAGAAAATACTTCGCTAACCTGTGCTCAGAAAAGTGGACACTAATATGCAGGAGTTTAGGGCAAAGCCTCTCTAGAAGACTGTCTTAACTGCAGAAAATCATATTAATTAAACCCAAAGCATCAAGGACTAAGTCAAATGTTTTTTCTTCAGGTTGAAAGTTGAAGAAGCCAAAGAAGTTCAGAGCCTCAGAAGGCGACCCAATGGGGTGAGGTAAGGGACGTAGCACCGAGGACGTAGCTGTGTTGTGTCCGAGGGTGTAACGTAACGGTAAACTTCTCCCTTGGCGCCCCCCTCCTCTCAGCAGAAACTGTCGTGTGGCGGGGGGTGCCAAAAACATCTTCCTGATAGAGGAGTTTCTACCTTTAAAGCCTGAGGATGAGGAAGAGGGGGAGTAGAGTGCAGGCACACCGTGGCAGTTTACAAAGTCTGTTCTGTACAACAATCATGAAGGAAAGGATTAAGATTGGGATTTACCCTGAAACGTATTTTCGACCAGTTGATTTTGTACGGCACACATGGTTTAAACTGGACACTTCCCCACCTCCTCCATCCTAACTGCCCTCTCCCCTCGTGCCACTGATGAGCTGAGGAGCCAGCTGGAATGTGCACCAGCTACGAACTTTGTTCCTCGTTTTGGTGACTCGCTGTGAGGCGCTAAAATCTGCCTTAACTTCCCATCTCCCCAGAACAGCAGTTGTTGCTCTGCCCATGTGGAGGAGTTACCCAGATTGACAATTTAGTGTTAAAACAGCGTTTGAGACCATCTGCTAGATTTAGAGAAGGACAAAGAAAGGCGGTATCATTGTTAATATGTTTCCTTCCACTGAGTTTTGTTTACTTTCTTTATCTGCTCGATTAGCGCTGTCGCTCTGCTCGTGGGGGAGAAGTTGCAGGAAGAAGCAACGCTTGTGGTAAGTGCTAGACCCTGTCATCACCTCGGTGCTGAGATGGAGGGGTGTGAAAACACCACTGTGGTCCGGCTGATCGCTCTGTGAGTCTGGCTGGGGTAGGACTGATGCCACAGCTCAGTACTGCAGTGCTTTCGGTCTTGTATCCAGATTGCGAAGACTAGCGTTAAACGAGAACGAAGCTTCAGGGTTTCTCGTTGTTTCCTGTTTTACAGGATGATCCATTCAAGATAAAATCTGGGGGAATGGTGGACATGAAGAAGCTGAAAGAAAGAGGCAAGGACAGGTGGGTGCATCTGAACTCTGAAGATCTCTCCCTGGACTGGTATTAAGTGACAGCGAGTGATGAAGTGACCAGATGTTGGGTTGCTTTGAAGAGTTTAATTTAATGCAGTTGGGCCAGTTATCATTACCCTAACTTATCAAATGAGTTAAAAAAAATCAAAACACCTCCCCCACAAACTGTAAACATTGTGTTTTCCATTTAGGATTAATGAAGAGGAAGATCTAAACTTGGGAACTTCTTTCTCAGCTGAAACCAACAGGCGGGATGAAGATGCTGACATGTAAGTTGTGCTGCCTCGTGTCTGTTGTGTTGGGTTCCGGGTTAGGTGTCCTCTCACGGTGTACTTTTTTCCATCTTGGATGCTGAGTTAGGCCCAGAACATCTTCCCAGTTCTCGCTGAAACTGTCTCTTGCTCTTCCCTGGCTGCCAGACTTGAGAAGGCTTTTTCAGGGGCAAAGATGGGAAATGCCAACCAGCCAGGCAATGTGGTGGCGTTAAGTACAGTGGGAGCCTTCCCTGCTGGTTGTGAAAGAGCTCAGAGGGTCTGATAATGTACTCGACATGTCTCTTGCTTCTTGCAGTTGATGTTAGCTGAGTTGTTGCGGAGGATGAGGCATTCCTCTCTCCTAGCTGTCGGGTCAGCGATGCAGCCGCGCTCAGCAGTGCTGGGACAGCGTACAGAGAACAGAACTAAGCGCCGTGTCCCTCGTCTGCTGCTCTTTAGGATGAAGTACATTGAGACTGAGCTGAAGAAGAGAAAGGGGATTGTGGAGAACGAGGAGCAGAAGGTGAAGCTGAAGAACGCCGAGGACTCTCTGTACGAGCTGCCAGAGAACATCCGTGTCTCCTCTGCCAAGAAGACCGAGGAGATGCTGCTTTTCCTGAAGTGGACCTGGGAATTGAGTACGTGGTTCACAGCTCTGTTGGTTATGTCCGGAATTGCCAGGATGAGCAACTCTTGATTGGCAGAGCGGCGGTGTGGCGGGATTATGCAGCCCCACTTTGGCTCTGTGATGGGATTGAGCCTTGTTCTGGATTAGTGCGGTGTCTAGCACAGCCCGTTGCTCACAGTGAGAGGGCTCTAGTGCAGCTCCACCGTATGACCTCTGGGAAGAGGCTCTTCCTTTTTGTGACTTGAATCTAGCAGCTTTCTGGAGGGTTGGTTTATGCCCTGGGCTGAAAGAGGATGGCCTAAAGATGCGAGCTTCCCTTTTGGTTTTGAAACAAAATGCCTGTTTCTATAGCACTGCCTCCCCTCAGAAAACACATCAAGTACCATTGCAGTGCTATTACTATTCCCCCAAACCCATCCACTTAGCACTTCTGTGCCTACTACCCTTTCTAAATATGAACGAGATTTTTTTTTTCTTTGTCTTTCTTCTAGTGCAAAAATAAAAAACATCATCTCAACTGAAGAGGCCAAGGCCAAGCTGCTGGCGGAGCAGCAGAACAAAAAGAAAGACAGCGAAACGTCTTTTGTTCCCACCAACATGGCTGTTAACTACGTCCAGCACAACAGATGTGAGTCTCGCGTAGCTCTCCAGAGCCAGCTGTGACACTCTGTTGAAGAAAAGCACTTGGGATGGGGTTTGATGTGGGAGAAATTACTTCATGTATTGGTGCAGGCAGCTGCCTGATTCCTTTTTCTGGGATGCTCATATCCACCCCACCTGGCTTGCTCTTTTTCTTCCACGTGTCAGCAAGGAGAGGGACGCATTACTCATAGCTTAACTTACTGCTCTGGAACTCCCAGCTGACAGTGCCTCATAAATTTCCAGGCGCTTCTTTAAGCTGTGTCTTGAGCATGTTCTGGGAATGCCTGCCTCGCCTGCAGTTCCAAGTGGTGGTTTAGAATGCAGGGAATGTGGTTTTTAGGCTGCCAGAGCAGACGGGTGGTCAAGCAAAGACAGGCCTTACTAGACAGGAGATGGGAATTAATTTCCGGGAGAGCGTCTCCTACCGCAGCCATCTGGAGGAAAGGCAGCCTTCTGCTGTCTCTAACCATGCGTACAGGGGTGATTTGGAATCAGATTTGTGTGTTCTGAAGGCAATGATGGGTTTTTGGGCCACTTTGGATGAAACAGTGCTACTGAAATGTGCTGTCTCTCATCTTGCGTGTATTGATTATCCATAGAAATGCTTGTTCTGAGGTGCTGTTGTTTCTGCTAAAGATCAGTTGTAACAAATGCCACAGAAATATGTCAGTCTGAATAACACTACTCCAGATAACGCTCCTTTGCTGATGTTTTCCTTCTTTCAGTTTACCACGAGGAGCTAAATGCCCCAGTACGGAGGAACAAAGAAGAGCCAAAGCCCCGTCCACTGAGAGTGGGGGATACAGAGAGGCCGGAACCTGAGCGTAAGTTCCTCATCTGGAGTGTCGTAAAGAGAGACAGTCAAACTCTTCAGGGGTCTTGCACGGGAAGAGGATCTTGTGCTTCTTACCGCCTCTTCTCTGGGTGCCCTGAGATGGCTACGAAACGGAGCAATCTCAGTCCACGAGAGGCTGTTGCGCTTGATGTACCCCTGGCAGGTCCCACCTGAAGCCCTCTGGGCGGAGGATGTCTTCAGAGATGCCCTGAGGGTGGGCTGAAGGCTGGAGTAGCAGGGGTGCCAGGCTGGGGAGCATTGGCAGCTAAAGCCGTAACCTTTCACGTAGCAGGGGGCTGTACGAGGCAAGTGTGGAGCTAAGGAAATGTCTGGGGTGAAAAGACAAGGAAACAGTCTTTCCTTCTGTTGTTTTGAAGGCTCTCCTCCGAATCGCAAGCGGCCGCTCAATGAAAAAGCAACGGATGATTACCACTATGAGAAATTCAAGAAGATGAACAGGCGATACTGATGAAGATGGACCGAAGGCTCTGGAGTTGGTCTTCTTTTCCACTAATAACGGATTTTGTGCCGATGACCCGAAACGCAGCCGGGGAGGATCACTACCTTCGCGTGCGGGTGTTTCCCACGAAGCTTTTCTTGTGATCCTGTAGCGAATCGGTGTGCAGGTGATTGTATATAGCTTGTTTTCAGTTATAAAACTTCTTTTATAAGAACATGAGCTTTCCTGGTTGGCATTCTTTAGTGAGAAAACAAGTTTACTTTTACAGATTCTTCCACTCTCTTAAAAATATGAAAAAAGAAGATCCTTTAAAAGCAGCAGTGCTGCTTGCCTTGTAAATGTAAAGGGAAGGTTTCAAGCCGCTTTGCTTGAATGTAACTTGCTAAGAGACTTGTTGTTTGTTCCTAAGGGCCTTCGCTGTGCGGAGAGTGTAAGGCTGAGGTGCTGCAGCAGCATGTTCAGTGCCGTCGCTCCTCAGCCTGGCTTGAGAGAGCTCCGGGACAAATCCCTGTTGGCCCCGACCGGCGCTGTCTTGTAAATGTAAAGGGAAGGTTTCAAGCCGCTTTGCTTGAATGTAACTTGCTAAGAGACTTGTTGTTTGTTCCTAAGGGCCTTCGCTGTGCGGAGAGTGTAAGGCTGAGGTGCTGCAGCAGCATGTTCAGTGCCGTCGCTCCTCAGCCTGGCTTGAGAGAGCTCCGGGACAAATCCCTGTTGGCCCCGACCGGCGCTGTCTCGCGGGGGTGTAAGGCTGAGGTGCTGCAGCAGCGTGTTCAGTGCCGTTGCTCCTCAGCCTGGCTTGAGAGCGCTCCGGGACAAATCCCTGCTGGCCCCGACCGGCGCTGCCTCGCTGGGTCTGTCGTCAGCGCGAGAAACGACCGCAGATACCCAGCGACGGGCACTTTGTAACGTGTGCCCTGTTGTTTTCTGTCTTCTTCCCGCTGCAGGCTTCTGTCTGTAGCAGCGAACGGCGTTTTATTTTAGCTGTGAAGAAGAAAATTGGGTCGGGTTGTAACCTTTGAATTGGAGGAAAATCTAATTTTCAGCTCTTTGGACAAGGTCAACACGGCAGCGGGTGAAGAGGGCAGAGGCACTGCAGTGTCAGCCCTGTCTTCTCAAGCTGTGTGACATCTGAAGCCAGGATTTGGAACTTGAATATAATAAATGTGGTTTTAAGTGGTTTTCAATTACCTTTTTTCATTCTGGGGTATACGCTTATGGTTTCTGGGTGCTGGTGGTAATGAGGGCCAGGGTGTCCCGTGGCTGTGCGGGTGTCCGGTGGCTCAGGCGTGGAAACTCCAGGGTGAGGCGGGGGATAGGCCCACGTTTTACTGGTTTTTGTCAGAAAAGGG